GTTCAAAAGCTATCGATTGCTTTTCCATGCGTTTTTCTAGCTACCATAGTTCCTGAGATAGCGGCATGTTTTCTGAAAAATATAATGACAATTGGCAAATGTTGACCTTTGATGACCTCTGGTGACCCCAATATTGCTCTAAGGTGAAAAATGACCGAAATACTTTCAAACGTACGTATTGAGAGCTATCGACTGCTTTTTACCGCGTCTTTCTAGCCCTCTTAGTTTTTGAGTTAGAGGTGGGTGGTAACATATGCCCCCCCTCACTAGGGCGAAGTTGGCCGAGACCGCCACTGGGGCGCGGGTTATAAATGTTGCAACATTGTTGCGTAGTAGGTACATAGATAATCGTGTCAAGTTTCGTTTATGAATCTCAATTGATGATTTTTAATCAATGATTTTATCAAAAGTGGCTAACATTTTACTGAAATAACTCTATGCTTTTTAACAAGTTTCATGACATCAATATTGGACAGACTCAGCCGGGTATTTTGAAATGTGCATTAATCTATGATGCAAACATTAAAACAGAAATATAGTTTTGTAGCAGCTCTACCTAAGAGGTTAACCAACTTATCAAGCTTTTTGAATTTTTTAAAATAAACTGGCGCCCTTTTTTCAGATCCTTCCAGTATCTCACCGAAGAACTGTAAGAACTAAGAAGAGACCCAAACTCCAGGTCACTGTCACTCAGTCCAACACCAATAATGCTAGAAAGACGCGCAACATAACACACAACAACAACAAGTTATCACCATTAGTCGTTCGGGCGCACCACACGGACCGACCGTCACTGCCTGCACGCGCTGCGGGCGTCCGCTCAACTGAGCTGCCCACTCGGGCCAAACTCGTCGGCAGCTGATAGAGCCACCAGCCACGCCCCTCCCCCTCCCCCTCCCTCTGTTCCGGCCAGTCGGCAGTGCAGTGGTAGTGGTGGCGAGTGGCGACATTTGCATTTCGACGCCGACTGGGCAGACGACATATGCAGGCAACGCGGAACACATCGGACGCAGTCGCGCGCTTGGCTGCGGTCCAATTCAATGACGGCGGCGGCGGCGGCGACGGCGCAGTGATGCCGTCATCGACGCTAGATAGCAATGATGACGGTGGAGGATGTGGAGGATGGCACCGGCTCATGCTGTCAGTTCATATATTTTTTATAATTTTGGCCATGCTAAATTTGGTTTTACAAACCACACTAATTTTATATTTTGCGCAGATCATCACTATTCATCAGACTAAATATATGTGGCTACACATGGCTCGAGTCTTGGAGCTCCAGTTCAGTTCATCGACCATCAATTGAAGCACAGATAAAATAACTTCAGTCCAAACGGAGGCGTCTGTTTTTGAAAAGGCGACGGAAAGCCCGGCTCAAGGCAGCATACTGACGACAAATGTGACGGAAGCCCCCAGACTCGGCTAGCGTACCAGTCGGCGCAGGAAATTCGTTTTCCGTTGACGCCAGCGGAGGCAGATTCTCAACGCGACAGTCTGCCAAATCTGAAATTGGCGTTTGGAACGCGCAGACATTCAGTCTCGATAGAGAAAACACGACGCTTTTGCGTAGACTTTCATTCGAATGGTAGAAGAAGAAGAAAAATGCGAAACGCGAATATCATTTCGCGAGGAAAGTTTAATTGCTGTCACCAGGGAATTTATTTCATTGTAAAACAAAAATGAATGATAGCAACAAGGAAGGACATGGGCTATAGCTTGGGTAGCATGAAAAACTTGCGTGAAAAGGTATCGCATCATTACCTGACGAAACATCTCCGCTGGCACCATTAGGCATCATTTTCAACATCTGATATCGCTTCAACCAGCCACTTTTTAGCGGCTCCTTGAGAAACGATATTCAGCCAGCTGTTAAATAACGAAATCCATGAAATCGATCTTGTGGTCTAGCGAGCAGACATCCAGTGAAACCCACCCGCCGATATCGTTCACTAAGTGCATAGGCGTAGGAACAGGGGGGGCCAGGTGGGCAAGTGCCCACCCACTTTTCGAGGTGGGGGGGCCAACCATGTGTTTTGGCCCACCCACTTTTTACTCGAGGCCCCTCGTCTCGATTTGAGAGGACGTCGTCACCTTCCAGAATAAACAAACTCCGTAAAAATGAGTTCCACGAATCCCCACGCACGGACTCCAAGGGGCCGTGATGGATCCAAGGAGGCCCTCTGTTCATACTTGTCAGTCGAAGCCCCTGAGACTGATGGCCTGAGAGGCCCTAGTGGATCTGAGGAGGCCCCAATATCCACACTGGTCTGGGGAGGCCCCTGACACTGGCAGTCTGGGAGGCCCCTCTATCCACACTAGTCAGATGTCCGAGACTGGTGGTCTGGGAGGCCCCTCCATCCACACTAGTCAGAATAGGCCCCTGACACTGGCGGTCTAGCCGAGGCCCCCTACCCTCACTAGTCAGAGGAGGCCCCTCTATCCTCAATAGTCAGATGAGGCCCCTGAGATTGATGGTCTGGGATGCCTATCCATCTACACT